TGAATTCTTCTCAAGAGATTGTCTTTTTATTACAACCACCCCTTCAGTTTGTTCAAAGTCACAAACTATTATGTGATGCTTCAATTTTTTTCCTTTTCAATTCCATAGGTTGTCAGTTCTAGAAACTGGCCTCTACTTTCTCGTTATAGAGCTTCTGTGCGTAGTCAGTCACCAAAAGTTGAGATGGTAGATTCTCTTTTTAAACTAACAGCAGATAAGAAAGATGATTGTGGGATTGTTAGGTGAGCAATGCATGCCAATTATATTTTAAAAAATGTTTTCCTATACTACATTGTTGGACCTGGTCTTTTTTCTGTACCTGAATGCCCCTTTGTATAAATAGAGATTTGAAATCCCTTCAATTTCAGGGAATTGTTGTTAGACTACTATAAGAGTTCTGGCCAAACAAAGCCAGCTCAGATAATCATATTCAGGTCAGTTTCCTTATCTTTGAACTGACTTTCTTGGTCCTTGCACTGTTGATTATTTATCTTTCTTCTGTATTCTGTCACACCTGCATTTTGCTAGTTTTGGTCTTAATGGATGTTGCAAGCAAGAGGGCCTTGTTACAATGAAAGTAACGAGGCAAAAGAGATCCGTTACTTGTTTTCTGGAAGCATTGAATATGTGAAGTCTCTGCTTTATATGACAAGGCATTTGAAATGTTTTCCACATTCTTGTCAATTATCACCTTTTCCTTTTCTTCCAATTTTGAAAGAAAGTTACCAAGCTGCACTAAATTTATGCTTTAGCTATAAGCTTGTCTCTTAAATCTTTTTCCATCACTGAAAGCCCACAAATTCATGTTCATTTTTTTTTTCTAATGTTGAAAAAAGGGATGGAGTTAGTGAGTCGCAGTTCAATCAAGTCCTCAACATCGAGCTGGAACAAATCATTGAGGTTTCTTGCTATTAAAATACTATCAAATGATAAAAGGTTATTACTTATTTGTAACCAGAACATAAATACACGTTCTTCTAAGTAACTTTCCTCTTTGTGTTTGTCAGGCCTGCAAGTTCCTTGATGAAAGCTGGTCGCCCAAGTTCACTGTAATTGTTGCACAGAAAAATCACCACACTAAATTCTTCCAAGATGGATCTCCGGACAATGTTCCTCCTGGTTGGCATTCCCAAATTCTAATCGAACCAGCAAGTTTAATTAATTTTGATGATATTTATACATTCTTTTTCCCAATATGCAGGAACTGTTATTGATAATGCTGTTTGTCACCCACAAAACTATGATTTCTACATGTGTGCCCATGCAGGGATGATAGTGAGTTGTTTTTAACTTTTTATCATTGAACTGACTTTATTTTCTGTTTATACTTGCGGTGGTTTGTTGAGGACATCATTTCTTTCTTGAGGTTGGAGATTGCATGTATGAATGGACAAAACATAAATGGCTGATTACTCGATTGACTTGGGGAGGGGGAGGGGGAGGGGGGGCGCGATGGTTTTAGTGTAATGATCTAATTTTCTTACCAATTTGATGTTTTAGGGAACAACTAGGCCAACACATTATCATGTTCTTTTAGATGAGTTTGGCTTTTCAGCTGATGATCTACAGGAGTTGATTCACTCTTTGTCTTATGTGTAAGTTCATATTGGGTTGCTTTGTTATTTAAAATGGTATTTTGAAGCACATTTATGGTAATCTGTTAAAAAACTTTGTAGGTACCAAAGAAGCACAACAGCAATATCCCTTGGTAACGAACAGATCCCTGTTCTGTTATGCTTATGCATCCTTACTTCGAAATTAGGAATTGAAATGCTCGAAACTGGCCATTTTTATTTACTTTTGCTGCTAGTTTTTATATTTTTACACGTTGCTTTTCCTATCTGAAGCTGACAAGGGAATGACTGTTAGTAGCCTTTTATTGATTTCATGTTCTGCACCAAACACCTCATATCCACAACTGTTGAGCTATTTTTATTGCTATAACACCCTTGCAGTTGCTCCAGTCCGGTACGCACACTTGGCAGCAACTCAGATTTCTCAATTCTTGAAGTTTGATGATATGTCAGAGACGTCTTCGAGCCATGGAGGTCTGACTTCTGCTGGGCAAACACCTGTGCCTGAGCTTCCTGAGCTACATCACAATGTCCGCAGCTCCATGTTTTTCTGCTGAAGTTTGGGAAACTCTGTGAACTATAAGTATGGCAAAACTGGATGATCTTTTGTGTTGTGGGCTCTAGTTTTTGTATGTATATAGCATGGGGCTAGTTATGTGTATAGCGTAGGGCTACTTCTTGAATGTGGTTTTAGAACATCTTCTTGTTTCGGGTTAACCTTTGATGCTCTTTCTATCGTTTGCTATTGACACTATCCCTAGTGGACGTGCAAAAAGGGCTTAACCTATCAACCTGCTTTCGGTTTTAACAACCTGTTGAATTTTTCTCTAGCCAATTGGCGTGTGCATGAGCAATTGGTGTGCCCATTTTCGTGGATTTTTGGAACAATGAATTGAGTCACAGAAAAGCTTTGTAAAGGACTTGACACAAATATAGACAAATCGATGGGCTAATCTTGAATCAAGGTTCGATTCTGTACCGCGTTGGATCCGTATGTTAATAATTTTTTTAGCAGAAATATGTCAGGAGTGACATGGGCTTCCTTGTGTGTTTTTGCGAAAACCTCATTAAAGTCCCCGAACTTCAAGGCCAGTCTTGATTTGGTCTTCAATCTTCTTCTTCTTTTTTTTTGTCTCAATTAGATCTCCAATATAGTAATGAATTCTTAATTGGATTTTTTATTCGTTTTTTTTTAATAAAATCCTCTAGACTTGTAATCCTCTTTCCCATCAAAGTAAAAACAATCCATGCCATCTCTGAACTTCAAAATGTATCCATAGGGAATGATAACCCCTGACGTAACTTGAAGAGTAGGATACTTTAAAGCTGAAGGTAAAGTGATAACACCCGATAAAAACTTGTGTATTAAAATGATAATATTTTATTTATTTAGACTATTGATCCGATAGGGTTTGAACTAGGCTTGTCTAGATCAATTAAACCGGTTAGATCAAACTGTTTTATTGAATTGATGTATCATTGGTTTAACTAAAAATCCAATATAAGTTAGATGTCAGGTTCCGAGTCCAGAATTTCCTAGCAATTTGCCGACATCAATTTCTGCATGTTTCCCACAACTTTTGCCGCGACAACAAAGAAAACACTCACTTCTCTTGCAAAGGAAATCAACGCATAACCTGACCAAAACATTACAAGGAGACAGCCTTTTCAAGTGTACAAATAACATCAATCCATATAGTAGAATCAGCAACAGTCTTTCTTTTAGTGCAAGTAACATCATAAAATCACATAAACTTGCAAGAAAAATCTCCAAGAAGCAACCCTACCTCCACCTTCACCAGTGATACCATCAAATTCAGTTCCTATTCGATTCACTGCAGAAATTTTTCCTGAATAAACTAGAAGGCTATCAAGAACACAACTGGATCTGATGGCCAGGATGCGTGGTGTGGGTACTAAAGGAAAAACAATACAACTGCTATGCAATCATTCTCAGATCTTATTCTTTCCTTGCTGAAAGTTTTGTTCTTGATTGGACTAGATTTCCTTGTCTTCTCGGAATGTTCGACCTGTTAATCAAAAAGGAACTGGAAGAAGATTGCTTGATAAAGTTCGAGAGACTCATTACTCGGTCCTCGCTGGGTAGGATTTTGCTATTAGGTTTAGTCCTCTAAATAAGACTGTTCAAATAAAGCCTAAATAAATAACTCAGAAAAAAAATACAATGAAATAGATCGTATGAGCTTATTCTCTCAATGAAAGAGTGATGGGTCAGGCCATCCTCATCACTGTCCATATTACCCGTGTAATATATTGTCTAGGTCTGGTGTCACCACCATGTTACTTGACACTGCGCTTGATTGATGATGGATCAGGGATGAAGAAGAAAATTCTTGCTTTCAGGAATTTGGAAGGCAATTATGACGTGGGAACGTTCAATGAAGTTATTACAGACGTGCTAACTGAATGGAAAATTAAAGAAAGTGTGCTTCTCATATTTGTAGGTGTCGGTCCTCCAAATCATCACATGGTTGGAGACTTGACAAGTAAGCTTTCTGTTCAATCCCACTTCTCGATTGGGATTTGTACTGTTATCTATCTTGTCATGTACAAATTCTCAATCTTCTTGTTCAAGATGGATTTTATGGGATAAAGAATGTGCTTTGCAAGATAAGAGAATCTATTGTATATGTGTGTTTAGAGACTAGGTATGGAATTTCTATTAGATTTTGTGTTTAGAATACGAAATCAAAATGCCAAAGCTCTCTGCATTTAAGTAAAGAATTAGGTTGGAAGTTTACTATCGTCATAGCTTTAATAACAATCACGAATCTCATCACCCTTGGGATTCATCGCCTTTGAAATTGTGCAAGTTTCAAGCCAAACTTGAGGAGGGTGTTAACTATAGTATAAATATCTTGGACCTCACTTAAAGCTTTCAGATGGTTTTTGACAGGCCTGAGCATGTGTTTTGGATTTTGATGCTCTTGCTGGTTTGTCACAACGAACTCTATGCGACCAGTACCAATTTCTTCAGCTTTTATTTCCCATGGACAGCGGCATTTTTTCACCTTTTAGTCCTGTCGTTTCTCTCGTCGATGTTAGAGATATTCTCTCTCGGCATTTAAAAAAGGCGATGGGGTGATGATACTGTAATGTTTCTGGTTTCTCATCTTATCATAGACCGAGTGCTGATGAGAGCAAGATAGGCAAGACCTAGTTCATTTCAGATCTCTCCACATCCCTGCAGTGCAAGAGCCTAATTATTAGCTCGGTTTGTTTGAGATTGTCATCATGCCTATGAATCTGCAGGATTTAAGGTTTAATTCAGTTTGTGTTGTTTATGTTAACTTTCCTGGGTGAGAGCTATGGTTTTTTTCCCTTTATCGTTAGGTAGTTCTATGAATTTAGCCAAAAGAAAACTACCATGTTCACATTTTTTACTCTAGAGAGCACATGAACAGATTTTCAAGATAACAAACAACAACGGAGAGCTTTGAAATGTACATTCAAGACACTGGCAAAGGCAAGGAAAATTGGCAGGTGAAACCTGTAACATTATAATCGTCCAGCCAGATTAGAGATTCGACAACTAAAGTTGGCTATTAGAATGTCATCATGTCTTCCCACTTGCCACTTTCCACTTGCATCAGCACATCAGTCATATATGAATAACAGATATCAGAAACTGGCTGAGCTTGTTCTGCGCAGCTGGGACTTGGGCTCCGGAGGCGGTGCGCATGGCAAAACCTTCTCCACCTCCTGAAACAAAAAATCCCGTTGTGATTATAAAAAAAAAAGAAAAAGAAATTATATACATTTTAGGGTCATAAAATCAACAGCATAGAGGAAGAAGAGCAACAAATTGTTCCAGTTGCCCCATCATTTAAGGCTATTCTTTGCCTAATCAGCTGTAGATAAAATAGAATGAAAATAGACGCGTGGTCTTCTATTTTGATATGATCACAAGAGCCAACAGAAACACAAATAGTTCATCATAGACTTTTCAAGGAGTTTCTCTCTAAGCCTATGGAAAGTCGAGATAGACTAAATCGATACAGAGAGTACACTGGATATACCATGGGACAATGGCTGTATGCAAGACGGGGAGCAGAATTATGGGCAAAAAGGAAAGTTAAAGCTCGGTGAAGAATGGTGCAGAGAGAACATATAGGAATGGATATGAAAACAATTCAGGATCTGATTGAAAGTTGCATTTCGATAGATAAGAAGGGTTCAGAAAAAGAATCTTAAGCTCTACTTTCCTAACAATTCCAAAAGGTGCCATCCAAGATAGAAGCCATCTGCAAGAACGAAAAAAGGACACAGACAAGGAGAAAGGCTTGGCCATTGTGATAAAAAACAAGTGACGATGGTGATGCATTTGCCAGATAAACCCAGAATCTGAAAGAATCTCGGTTGATATCATTTACTACAAAAGATGACTATAACACTTGAAAAAAAGAATATCATTTACTGCGTCCCATTAAGCATTTAAACTAGTAAACATGACTATAACACAGGAAAAAAGAGTTGCACTAGGCAAGCATGAATCTTAGAGAAGTAGACGGTACAAAGATAAAGAAGCCTACCCTCTGTCTTCGAAGTCTTTCATTCTCCTCTTCTAGATGATATACCTTGATCTCTAGCTCGTTTGTATAAGCCTGTTTTTCGTTTCATCAAAATATTTAAGACCCTTTACACATAATTAAATCAACTATCAACCTGTTTCATGCACAAAAAAGCTTCACAAAAGAAAAACAAACCTGCCTCCTTGCCCTCGAGCGGGCAGCAGATTCCCGGTTCTTAATCATCCTCTTCTGCTTCCTTTCAACAGTCTTCTCAGCTACATCTCCCGAAGCAACCCTTTTCCTCCCAGGAGTCTGCGTGTCCGACAAAGTACCCATCAAAGAAGATGGAGATGAGTTCATTTGGGAATTCGGATATGCTGCATCCGCAACAGGAAGGGATTGCTGGACAGGGTGTCCTTGCATAAAGCCTGTCATTATGTTGTTTTGATAGGGTGGCTCCTGCACTGTAGGGTTCTGGAATTGCATCCATTGAGCACTTTCCTGTTGTTGCAGAGGAGCCGACTCTGTAACCACACCTGCTTTAACCAAGAAGTCCTCGAGAGTCATCTCACCAAGAGGAGCATTTCTCTCCTGACTTTCAGCATCTTTCTTATTCTCCTGCTGTATATTTCTCCATACCTCCTCGACAGTCTTCTTGCTCAGACCCCTTGACAATGTTAGGCTCCCTTGTCTGTGCACAGGTGAGGACCAAGAACCCTCAGTGTCCACACTCTTGAGAAGTTCATCAAGATTCATGCTCCCCAATGGTTTCCCCAAATTCCCCAACTGGTTTTGAACCTCATCAAGTGTCAGGCTGTACAATGAGCCTTGCCCAATCAATGTCTCTGGATTTTCTTCTTCAAATGAACCAACTTGAGATCCCATTGGCTGTTTTCCCTTTCACTATCAATTTAATCCAGTTAAACCTGTCATTCATTCCACTCAACAGATCAAGAACAGTTTAAAAATCCATCAGCTTATGTTGTAGCAAGGATCAAACAACAACATTGTCTAGCAAAAACAAAAAAATCCCAGAAAGGAAAACAAATGTATGTGAAAGAAGTGAGCCTGCATTATCAGTTACAAGGCTAGCTATAAATCAAACAGTGTGAAACTTAAAGGACAAGTAAATTTTATCCTAAGGACAACAGGAGACAATCCAAAATCCTGACATAGGGAATTAAGACAAGAAACAAAAGAAGCAAGAAAATCTAGGAAATTTTTAAGGTTTATGTACTTACATTCTGCATGATCTGATCTGAATCTACAGAAGTGACATTTTATTTGGCAGTAAGTAGTGGTGACAGACTGTCACTTTCCTAAACTGATCCCACATTCCTATGGTTGGCAAACTGCCTTTTTCTTTCTTTAAAAAACTGCCTTTTCTTCTCCTCTTCTTTTTAAAACTATTTTTTTCTTAAAAAAATACTTTATACTTTCCATTTTCAGTTCTGAGCACAGTTTTCAAAGGCAGGTGGAAAAGTAATTCGAAAAAAAGCATAAATCACCTTGAAACTTACTGGGATAACTTGGGTCAAATGTTCTTATTCAAATGCTCTACTTTCACCCTTTTTAAAAAAATAAAAAAATTTCTTTTGATGTTGTTTGGATTCAATTTGGCTAAATCAACTAAATCATCAATAACTAGATTGATGTACTTTAAAAATTAGCCCAAATCAAGTCATAATTTGTGTATTCCCCGGATTAGCATATTAAAGTATTTAATGTTGTGTTGTATAGATTTTTTAAAAATATTTTTTAATTAATAATATAGTGAAATAATTTATCAAAATCATAAAATTAAATAAAAAATCAATTTAATATTTTTCATATAAAAAAATAATTTAAAAAACAGAATGCCCCCTACCACCTATAGTTATAATTGCCTTGAAAAAAGCAATAGAAAGCATATTTTTTTAATGTTATTCAGAAGGGAGAGTATTATGCAGATCATGTGGTCCAACTACTCCCCTCTACAAGCCACTGCACACTAAAACATATTTAATAAGCTTTTTAATCACATAGTCTGAGTAGATTTTTAATTAATCGCTGCAGCATTAAAACTATGGAATTAGAAGCATGTGTTGATTGTATATTATTTTATTATATGGCCCGCATTACCATTTCTTTTTTCTTGTGAAATTATGGATCTAGCCATAGGAAATCTAAGGGGAAATTAGTTGCATTTTCTTTAAGTTCTTAGATTATATCTCTATGTTTATATTTTGGAATATAAATGTTAAATCTGTTTCAACCAAGCATTTTTTTTTATTTTTTTATTAAAAAAAACTTGGTAACTCGAATCCATAATAAAATCAGCCAAATAAAAAAATCAAACATTAATTTAAAAATCTGGGACCACCTTTAAAACAATGATAAACCCTTTAGTAAGCACTACTAATTTAAAAGATTAATCGAGTGCATAGTTGTATTGGATTATCGGTTCATTTTAGGTTTATTATTTTTATATAAAATGATATTGTTTCAATTTTTATTAAAATAATCTTTAATTTTAATCAAAATGAATTAAATTAAGCCACCGGTTTATCCTTCAATTTAAATCAGGTTCAATAACTATCATCTATAATGTTGAAACCATTTTTTTTTATTATAAACTTTTTAAAAAAAATTGAGTTAAATCAAAAATAATTTAAGATTCATTTAGTGAGTGTTTATTTTTACGTTACAATTTACATTTTAAAATTTTTTTTAAATTATTTTTCACTTGAAAAAACATTTAATTGATATTTTTAAGTGTTTCTGGATTGTTTTGTTTAATCAATATTAAAAATATAAAATATAAAAAAAATCATTTTAATATATTTTTAATTAAAAAATATTTTTTAAAAACATTTTATACCACAAAATCAAACATGCCAACATGCCAACATCTTGATCACACCAGTAGAGGGAAATACAATAATAATAATAATAATAATAATTAAGGCAGCCGGCAGCAGCAGTCACCCTGGCAAGGTGGAATATTCTTAGTTACAGTGAGGTGGGCAGGCAAATCACACAAGCAAACTCATTCAAGAGCACATGTTGTGAATATGCATCCGCCGAGGAGGGCTGCACGTGCAAATGTTTCATCCTTCATGCACTGCCTGCCAGTTTCTCCATGAAGCGCCCAAAATATATTTCTTCACCAGAAATCAACAAACAAGTCCCCGATGTATGTTTCAATTTTTAATTTCATCCCTTCCATTTTTATTTTTTAAACCAATGCTGACCTGAACCTATCTACCTTCTTTCTTTCTTTCTTTCTTTTTTCTTTTTTTCTTTTTTTTGTTAGTCAGTGCTGTTTGTTTTCAGTTAATGGAACCCATTACCCAGCCCATTTATATTAGAAAGTTAACATATATATCAATTTATTAAACCCAATATAACCCCGCATATTAATTTAGAGATTTGTAAATTCAAGATTTCACATAGATTAAGTTAGATTTTATGTCAAATTAAATAAGAATTTATCAAGTTAAACTTGATAAGTCAATCTGTAACCTAACTGATAATAATTGATATGATAAAATATTGAATAAGATTTAATTTTATTTTAAAAGATAAATCAAAACAATACTATTTTAATTTTTTATAACAAATATTCTAAAATAATATATATTTAAATTTATCTAGACTAATTTTTCAAACCTATAACTAAACTTTGAGTTAGATAATATATCAAACCAAGTTTTACAACTATGTCAAATCATGTATTTTAACAAAAATAAAAAACAAATAAAAAATCCCTTTTATCACGTAAATCAATCTGCTAGTGATACATCAAATTGTGAATTGGTTCCATTAACGAATATTATTAATTGTACTTGGATGGAGGAGCAAGGACACTAATGAAAAATGAAGAATAAGCTCGTAGGTGTTATTAATAGAATTATTTTCACTTAGCAATAAATATAAATCGAGTGATAATCAATAAAGAAATCGTTTAGCCATGAGATCATGTTAATGCTCGAAATCAGCTGATCTTTATATATATATATATATATATTGCCGTCTCCAAACAACCAAATACAACTTTAAAATTCAAATATCCCACAGGTAATTAAGATCAGATGATTTCGAGCATTAACATGATCTCATGGCTAAACGATTTCTTTATTGATTATCACTCGATTTATTCTTTTTTATTGCATAATTTAAGAACTGCCGGCATCCTCATTGAGCAGGCAAGCATCTGCTTTAATTGTCTGGTGGGGTACAGCAGGCCACGAGCCCCTAAGAATTTGCACGTACAAGTTCCGATAACATATGGAGGAATGCTTTTTAAACAAGCATGCACGAGACACCAACTCTGTGCCCAACAAACATTTCCTTCTGCTGCTTAGACATGACTGCCGACTTTACAGACAAAGATCAACATGATCACACTACAAATCTTAAAATACAACTTGTTTAGTTGTGGTTTTCTAAATAAATAACTATCTTAGTACAGTATTTGTGTGGATCAATGTAAGGAAACGAGTCTCCATGGCTGATGAATGTAAAGAAACGAGTATCTCCATGGCTGCTGAAAGAGTGAGATGATCAGCAAACCCAAAATGGTTAGTGACAGAGCTGCTACAGGGTTCGATAATGGACTTCCTTTCAAGAATGCCCATCAATTAAGTCCCTCGTTTACTTTAAGTCTGTTTGCAAAACTTGGAGTGAAGCTAGCACCTCTTGCCGTCGAGCTACGATTTTTCAAGTTTTAGGGTTTCAATTCTAAACTAGAAAACTCTTGTATATTTTTGAAGAAAAGTTAATGATTCATATATCTTTCTTGAAATAACACACCGACTGTTTATATAATAGCAAAAATCAATCGAGTCTATATAGAAAAATAATAAATCAATCCAATTTTATTAAATGTGTAGTGAATTAACCATTAAAAAAGTTTTATATATATAATTGAGCTTCACAAACTTTTTATAAAAAATTTAGCATAATTTAATAGTCATATTAAAAATTATAGTTTTTTTAAGTTATTATATTGATCCGACGCAGCCAACTTTTCTCTTAAATATAGTTTTTTTTCATCTATCCATAAAAATACATGTTAGGTTATTTATTTATTTCAAATAAATTATTATCTAAATCTTCAGATTTATAACTTGGGTGCATAATTTTTTTTTAAAAAAAAAACAACTAATTTTTTTATGGATAATTAAGTAACATTTTGGGGTATAACTTTAAACTTTAAATATTCCTCCTCTCTCCCTCTAGCGTTTGTAAATCTTACTACTATTGTTTGCTTCACAGATTCATGTCCATGGAGTCTATGAAATTCAGGGCTCCCAGCACCGAAAAAAAAGCAATGGTGTCAACAGAACATTATCAAGTTTGTTTCTGGACAATGTTGTGCTCCAAGTTTATTGCAAGAATCAACTATTAAGCAACCTTTTGTTTAATCAAACTTGGCTCTCATTATCATCACAATATTGCTTAGTATGAGAATCCCAAAAGGTTTTGACGGACGGTTTTCTCATACCACCTTCTTTTGCTTATCCTGCCGTTACTTGGTGCCATAAACACATGCAGAGTTTAAGCACTTCCAAGTCTTCCCGGCAAATCCATATTTATCAAAATCAGAAAATTAATTTGAAAAATCCTAGTTTCGTAGATTAATTTGTAAGTTACCAAGCTAATAATTTTTATTAAAACTATATTATTTAATTCTTTTTTAAAAATAATTTTAATACAAGTTTAACCAAATCAATCACGCTTTATCTAATCAATTATATCTTTTTTAATTTAACCTAAAATCCAACCCCAATCAAGCTCCATACACAAAAATACACAAAAACACAAATTCCTAGATTGCCAGGTTTAGCAACTACAAGTTAAACATGAAATTGTGCGCGCTGGTTGGAAAACTTCAAAAATGGATGGCAGCATTCATCAGTATTGATTTTAGTGGTGGGAATATTAAATAAATAGTAGGTTTTTCTATTTTCTCTTATCTAGTTCTGATTTTTTAAGACTCCATTTGTTTATTATATGAAATACCCACCCCGGGGCTTGAGCTTAATGTTGTTAACGATTGTCCAAGACAACGGTAGGCTTGATAATACATGGGCCTGATTTATTATAATTTTTTCCTTCTTTTTTTCGAATAAAAAAACTGCCCTAGTAATTCTATAGAAAATAAAGAGAGAGAAATCAACGAAATCATGCTCCCAAAACGGGCGAGGCAAACCAATACTTACAAGTTAGGCTTGGTAACATCAAGACTTACAAGTTAGGGCTTCAGCCCACTCCAAATAAAGAATGTCTACATGGAATCACAACCTTCTCAGTTGCAAAATACATGCCTCGTGCCGGAATCCTAACTCCACCCACCAATGACACTCAGAAACAGGTAGGCCATTGGCATCTTAATCATCCATCCTGGTCATCTCGCAGCCATGCCTTCTTGTTTGAGAGCACTTTGAGCTCCCACGGTGGTCAAAATCAGATGATACTCCCAGCTTCAACCCAACCCATCCAGACTTCACAATCGCATTCAAGCTCACGCATGAGTACAACGGAGTGCAAAGCATTAGGAAAGGAACTCAGATTTCCTCCAAAAACTGTCCCCGTGTCCCAGTCTAAACTTGTTCTGTTTTTTTTTTTTTTGAGACACGAGAACTGTATACTTCTTAAATCTTTGTCATAACACATTTAGGACGGCAAAGGAGAGAATTCCAAGAGTCTATGGGGGTACATAAGGTGCCTTAACGCAGAACATCCAAATAATGATAACAGGCAAAAAGTTTCTGGAGTTCTCAAAGACAAAGGAAGAAATTCCATGAAAATAATGCTGAAAGTCTGGAGAGGAAAGGCAACCAAAACTTGGGAAATGTGACAGATGTGAAAATTTTGCCCATTGAGAACCATATCAAATCCATTCAGGATCAAAATATGTGCAAAACAGAGAAAAGTAACTAGATCTTAGAAACCTGTGGTAGAACATAATAAGATCTAAGAAACCTGTGGTAGAACATAATAACCTTCAGCTACCTCATGTTTTCGGCAGAAAATGCTGTCACTCTGTTTAGTCCATAATTTTTTTTATTCATATATTTGTGAAAATGGTTAGTAAAATAACAATAAATAAATATTATTTCTTTATCAAATAGGTAGGTCATAACATGTGACCCAAAAAAATTAAACCTAAATACCATTAATTTACCCTTTCAAGCACATATTCTCTGTCATTCATGGAGCACAATATATTGTCATTAGCAAAATGTAACAGAATGATGAAAATGATAAGTAAGAAAATGCAAACAAACCATATAGAGGGCATGACTTCCATGCGTGCAGGCACACCAAAAAGAAGAAACAAAACAGTGCACCTCATATTTCCTATTATACCATTGTCAAAGGTAACAGGAAAAATGCTTCTGACTCGCAAAATTTAACTCAGCTGAACTTAATCAAAATCTAACAGGGAACCCCATGATTTTTAGACAGGACCAATGCAATTCTATGTACTTGTGTACTAAGATGTAAAAACAATACTAACAGTTTGCATTAAGAAAATTAGAGAACTTGATAAGGACTAATTAAAGAACTTGATTAGAACTAATTTATAATCTTCTGACTAATTTGCACACATTATTTCCTTTTATTACATTGTTATAAGGTTGTATGCAAAATGCTTTCAACTTGCAATTTAACACCACTGAACTTAATCAAAATCTAGCAGGGGTTGGACTGCGTGGCTCTAGACAAGGTTTGTGCAATTCTATGTAGTTCTACAATGTAGAGAATTAATAGACTTCATTAGGAGAACTAAAGAATCTCATTATAACAAATTTCTTACCTTTTAACTCCCTTGCAACCACCCATTTTTCTGTGGCTCAGTGACCAGAACATCCATAAAGGCACACCTTGGGCCTCATATACAGTGGGGTTCAGATATATGAAAACAAGTTTAATAAAATAACTTGTGCAGACTGATCATTGAACAGTGATAGAAACAAATCTCAAGCTTCTCTCAGGTAACATCTCTCCCGATAACAGAAGTTCTTCAAATGTTTTGATTTCAAAACTGGCAAATTTTAGACTGTGGAAAGCATTACCCATGGGAGATCAAAAAAAGTATACCACCTTCAAAAGCATTTGATCTCAGAACTATTTCAAAACATACATGGTAACTTTTTCCAAGTTAAACCACAAGCTAAATCATTCCCATACAGTAAAAATTAAAATTTTTCTAAAACAGGATGATTCTGATAGAAGGGTGAGGAAGTTCCAAATCTTGGAGAAGTTGTCAAAACCAGTTTTCAATAAAAAAAAAATGTATGCTTCTATTATAGACTATGTGAGTGAAACAATTCGATCAACTTAACATCCCAATACCATGGAAAACCCACAGTTAAAACAGTTCCACATCATAAAACCACTACTTCTAAAACTGCCCGGTAAAAATTTGTCAAACCATTTTTGCATCACAAGACAATTTTACAGAATTCTGAATAATCAAATTATGTTAAAAGTTTCAAAAAAATCTCCCTCCCCCCACAATTTCCACCCAACCACGTAACATTACTGCAAGCAAAGTAGCAAGGACTAGAGCTCTTAACCTGCACAGAAAGATCACTTCCAGAGACAAATTATAAGCAGCCTGTGCTACATTATCATATTCACCATGCACATCAGATTGTTCTCAAATTTCAGTAAAGGGTGCATCACAAGAAATTGCACCAATAGATCACAGCAAAGTTCCAGTTCTAATATACATCATTTCAGTGCAAATAGATTCAGATAATAAAAGAGTTGAAAATATTCATTTCTAATAAACAAAACCAAGTACATTGGAATATTTAAAGAAAAGCACCACCTGAAAAGTAAATAGTTCAAGCAACATGTATTCCTAATGATAGAAATTTCAAAAGACATTTTTGTTCAACAACATTGACTCCAAAGAGTATACAGAACTTGAAATTAGTCAAATTGTACCCAAAGCTTTTAAACCAAATACTGAATCTCAAAATACATATTTTAAAAATGAAAAGGTGCAGGAAATGGAAAAAATAAGTAGAGAAAACATAAACATCATTTGACATTTTAAGATTCTGGCCTTTGCAGCAAAGAGTAACTTTTGGTCATATTTATAAAGACTTCATTTGCATAAGCTCCATAAACTTCAGAAGAGTCAGCAGGCCAGTACTTAAAAGACTGATGCACCTATTTGGGATCTGCAAAATGAATGAGAAAACATAAAAAACAATTTCTCAAGAAAAGGTTTCGGGCCAGAATCTTTCACAAATTGGTTAAAAGAATCACGGAAATATATATTTAAATGCTGAAGCATGTAAAGAGTTAAACGTAATTGAATTCAGAGGCAAAAAAAGTTCCCAGCAAGATTGGTTCGAACAAGACCTTGCTCACCTCCAAAGTGGAAAGACTAGTCTGAAAAAACTGACTACCAAATAAATGTTAGCATTCACATAGAGCGCATTAAAAACGCTAAAAGTGCATGGATTGATCATTAAATGCATAAGATGCTACAAAATGAACAAACTGAAAATGGTTTCTTGATGCATAGTGCTACAAACCCTGCAATGCCTCTATTGCATCCTCCAATCGTTTGGAAAATGCATGGTAAAGGCAGAGTTGTAACTTTCTTATATGATATGAGGGTTAAAAAGCCATAATCAAGGTGTGAAATCACCCAAAAATTCAGCCAGTGTGGAATAACTATTATTATACCTGAGGGGCACCTAGTGACCCATATAAGGAGCATATTGCCCATGTTGTCCTCTCCCAGAACCACCCTGTCCCGTCTGCTGATTTGGATATCCACCCTGCATAGCTCCCTGATTCGCATAAGTTCCCATCACTCCCGGACTTATGCTCGCCTGGTTCCCATAGGCTCCATGACCTGCACTAGATAAACCACCCTGATTCACAGCTGCAGCAGACCCCAAAGTCCCAAGCAAATTAGTCAGCCCCCCCAATCCAGCACCCTGAGTGGCAAGCAATGCGGTCAGTGCCTGTCCAAGTGCAGGGTTCAGGGCAGGACCAGCAGCACCCTGATTAAACCCAATCCCAGCTCCAGAAGCAGCCGGCGCCATTAAATGACCACCACGACTGCCACCACCAACATAACCACCACCATCATTCCTCTGGTAATGCGAGCTTTGCAAATTATGATGTTGCTGCGGTTGTTTCTGAGCTTTCCCTGGTTTCGGCCCATCTATAGCCTTCTGACAATGCAACATATGCCCTTCAAAACTCTTATGTGGCTCTTCCAACGCTTTCTTAGCACCCTCAGCACTCTTATAAACAAACAAACAAAACCCTTTCGGCTTCCCAGTCGCCTTATCAAGCCCTAAGGGTCCTTCCTCGATCTCTCCAAACTCCGAAAAGAAACTATACAGCTTCTGCGGATCCAAATCTGCTGCCACGTTACTCACATATATCTTCCTCAGCGTATACTCCGAAACTGGCTGCTGCGCTTGCGCTGCCGCAGCAACAGGCCCAACCTGGCCACCACTCGACTGTGGAACCGGACCAATAGACGCCAATTGACAAGCTGTCATCCTATTCCCTATCTTCTTCTGCGGTTCCTTCAGCGCCTTCCGTGCCCCACTCCTTCTCTTAAACAAAATAAACCCATACCCCTTCGATTTCCCCGAAACCTTATCGCACACAGCTTTACAATCCTCAATCTCTCCATAAGGCTTAAACGCATTCATCAAAGCCTCAGCGTTCGTATCCCATCCAAGCCCATGAACAAAAATCTTCCGATGAACTGGATCTTGGTCAGCCACTTGCCGGATTTTCTCCGCAACATCCCGGTGAGCATCCGCTGCTTCCCGAAGTAAATTAATCAGCTGGTCTTTTCCAAACGGTTCAAGAAGTTTCTCAACGGGCTCCTCATCTTCATCTTCGTCATCGTTTTGAATCTCCCCAGCTGAGATCTGAGCGTTTTGATTGTTTTCTTCATCAGCTTCATCTTCGTTTTCTTCTTCCTCTTCGACTTCTTCGTATTCTTCTTCTTCCTCCTCTTCAACTTCTTCTACTTCTTCTTCGTTTTGCTCTTCTTGGAGCTCTTCTTTTGGCGGATCTTGTTGTTGCTGCTTCTTCGGCGGCTCTTCCGCTGGCTCGGTGGATTTGGAGTCGAGCTTTCGTTTTTTAGCCATCGATTCTTTGAGGAGGAAGAGAGAGTGTTAATGATTTGGTGGCTAGGGTTTTCGCTCGCGTCGGCCGTGGATAACGAGGAGAAAAGTATTTATGCATAGGAAAAACCTCGAAATGAACCACAAACTATACATTAAGTTTCGATTTAGTACCTAAACAAAAAACATTTATGTAGAAATTTATGAAATTCTCAATAAAAAACTTCTATCGAAAAAAATTTAATATCAAGTTTTATTTAAAGTAGCTTATTTTGTATATTAATTAAAAAATAAGTTTATTATAAAATAAATCATAATTAAAAAATAAAAAAATAAAAAAATATTTAAGGAAATAATGAAATAAAAAAATAAAATAAGTCTAAAATCGGTATTATCCTAATAGTAGAGGAATATATTTTAAATTTTGCTATAGAATTGTTATCCGTGGCTTTCATTTGTTACTTTTGGATTCGACTTTTACTGCAATTAAATGCATGTTTTTAAAATATTTTTTTATTTAAAAATATATAAAAATAATATTTTTTATTTTTTAAAATTTATTTTTAACATCAACATAAAAAATATTTACAAATATAAAAAAATAATTTAAAATAAAATAATTATTTTTGAAATACAAAAATAAATGATTTTATAAGTTGATTTGTGAAGAAAAATCATTAATTTTCAAATTTAATTCTAAATTGACAAGAATTTTTAAATTTATTTAAATATGTCAAAGTTGATACCGATCAGAAAAATCATTCAAAAATATATTTATTTATATTTAACATATAAATTTATTTTATTATATATTTTATTATATTAAACGAGAGAAATTCAGTGTATGTTTGATTAGTAATATGTGTTTAATATTATATCAGTTTTTACGATTATATTTAAAAAATATAAATTTAGAAAAAAATATTTTTGGTTATCTTTGATATTATATTAAGAAATGACATAATATTAGAAAAAAAAATATTTTATATGTTGAGAGAATTAATTGTATGAGAGGAAGTAAAGTTACAGAGACTAAAATGTAAGTTTTCCAATACATTGGATGTTGTGTCATTTACTTCGTTCAACCTCTCTCATTGTTCGTTGTATATTATTTTTTTCATTAATTTGGTTCGCATTGAAACTTTAAAACAAAAAAAAAAAGAAATTGATATAGAAAATAAATCCGTACAAGACAGAATGAAATTTTAAGGACTAAGGAATCGTCAAGTCCTTCATCTCACACATCTAACGTAGCTTTGACTTAATAAGAATTTATGTTAAAAATATCGAGGAGCTAGAATATTATAATGATGAGAGGACAGTTAAAATATTTAATTTTATTTTATAATATCTCACTTGTTATATATATATTATATATATATATATATATATATATATATATATATATAACATAATATTAAATATGAAAAATAAACTAGAAAAAATTATTCTTTTAAAATAAAAAAATATAATAATATATAATAAAAAATTAAAAACATAAAATTAACTAAGAAAAATACATATATAAAGATAGATTTAGTCAAAAATCATTATTTATCATAAATATCTTTTTATATGAAGTTCATGTAAAAATAAACTTTTGTCATCTTTATATAAACTCTTGTTATTTTTGTATAATTCATTTGATTATGAATATATAACATGATACCTTTGTGCTGCCTAATGCATTATAAATCATTAACACAAATCTACTTATGAATCACTTCATTGTCATGATTTCTAGTAACAATATTTAATAAAAATAAAAATTAATTATAAATAAAAACATGTAAGATGAACACTGCACAACTAACATTGTTCACCCTCTCATAAAACATTGTAGATAACATTGTATATTTTATTCTAATCCTTAAAGTTTTTTTATATGATTTGATCATAGTCAAAGGTTAATTGCTTTTGAATGTTTAGTCAAGGGTGAGATTAAAAGAAATGAGACCGAATTGAAATATACACAAAAAATAAGTGGTGTGTCAAAGATCGCATGAAAAATCTATCTTGATCATCAATCTTTAAATATAAACATAATATATACTATTTAGGTTCTTTTAATTTCTTAAAACATTAATTGTTATACTCAAACTTATTTATATTATTTTTCAGTTGTTTTAAAAAAAAAAGGTTGTCAAATTCAAATGATAAAAAAAAATTCATTATTAAGTTCATTTTCAATCACCAAAATGGATTTTTTTGGTGTTTATAAATTCTATAAAATGAAAAGGACTTCATAATGGTTATTTAGAGTTTCGGTATTATATGAAAAATCAAATTAAAGTTGAGAAAAGTCAAAATTAAATTAATTTGATTTACTATTTTTTAACTAATTTGAGTTGATTGAATGGTTTTGTAGGTGTTATAAAAGTGTTAGTGTGGTGTTTTTAAGTTAAAATAATTTAAAAATTATTTTTTTTAAAAAAAAAATATAAGTTTTTAAATTTTTTTAATTATAATAGTGGTAACCAGAATTTGAGTTTATAAAAATAATACATCGTCTTCCTTAATAGATGACATATCTCCTGCTTATTTTTTTTTTAAAATAGAGATAGATCATTTATTGTTTATCTTTTTAAAAATATATTTTTTAAAATAAGTATGGGCTTATGGGTTCGAAAGTGAAGACCACCAACACTTTTGGATTTTTCATTTTAGTTGCTCAAACATGATGGGCCATGAGGCTGTGAATCTGATCATTTTGATCTTTATTCTGTATAAAAAAAAGTTGAATATAAATTTAAAGAAAAACAATATTAAACTCGTTTTTACAGGCGTACAGTAATTGTTTCTGGTGTATATGCATTGTATAGCTTGACTTTTTCGTTTTTTCTTTGAATTTCATTTGCTTCGCCAGCATATTTGATTCTCAGATACACCAAATCTAAATATCAATTCTCTTGGATTTCCTTTTCTTTTTGCTGGATTTCCATTATCCCTTGACTGAGAAACACATTCACTTGTTTAAATTTCGAAGGTAAATATGTCAATGGAACCACTCCTGTTGTTGATGGAGGACTTCTGACCAGTCCTCGCCACCTTCCAAAAGATGCAGTCAAGCAGCTTTCTCGAGCTGTGGAAAAGAGATCCAGGAATTCACAAGTTGGGGTTCCATCTAGCAATCTCCAAGTAAAAGCCCTGTAATCATTTGTGCCTGGCCATTAAAACACAAAGGTTGTTGATCTTTGTGGATTTTACGTTCTTCCCACTCAAAGCAACAAAATTCAAGTGTAGCCCCAGCTCTTTTCCCTTGAAGAACAAAATAATTGGTTTCATGGCCAGTCTGCTGGTTCGAGATATCTTCAGGAGTAATGGAGCTAATCCATTTGCATTGACAGATTGGCAACCATTCAAAATAAGCACTGCAAGATGTTCCCAGAATGCTATCAATGATGCTTGATTGTCTGTAAAATTGGTGCTGGTGAAACAGAACGGGACAGAAAATAATCCTTTGTCTTGCCTAAAAGACACCAGCAACTTCCAAGTGATTTGATTTGAAGCAATTTGCAGGTATATGCGGGTTCAGAGGAAGAATTTTACAGTTTTCACAATCTTCTGACAGGATGTCATAAATTTCTATGCTCTTCGGTCATGATCAGCGAAAAAATTGACAATTGCCTTGAATCAAAAGGGAGAATGCCTCGAGATAAACCATCGGAAAGTATTGAAAGAAGCATTCATAATATACGAAATATTCTTCAATAATTGAGAGGACCATAATTCAAGACTAACAACATATGCTTCTCCAGAAAGCCACAGCAGCTAGGTAGAGCAAGACATTGAGAGACATACAGGCGCCACATACAGCTCCCAAAAGCTCCCTTTGACCTAAAACTGCAGCAGATATCAGAGCAAACAAACTTTCCACAGCATGAATCCAAAATAAAGACCGACAGGGGGAGGGACAATTCCATGAGCAGCAGATGAACTGACGACGCAATTGTCACAACGGCTGATCATGAGAGATAGCAAGGAGTTGCAGATCCAAGAAGACAGTTTGGCAAAGATTTCGCTGCTGGTAATTCTAGCAGCCACATCACTTGAAGGCTGAGTTGATTCACTTTCTGACTGACTTCATCTCTCTTCCTCCATAGTCAAATCAAGATTTCCACATCCGGCAATACAGATTGACTCTCAAATGAAGTCAGATATTCCATACTTCGGGGCAAAGATCACAGGCTTTTACAACCTACGATATTCAATTTTCGAAGGCTTTTAAGACCTAGCATATCTTGGCACAAACATTCAAGATTTCCGCAATCAATAACGAATAAAGTAAGACCCCGAACACCCTCTTCCACCATCTACACTTCTGCTTGGTGGTTAGGTATAAACATCCAGGGCTGATCATTTCAGCAGCCCTTCGAATCCATCAGAAAGTATAGAGCTTGCAAGTTTTGTAACTTGTAAACAGAATTGGGGAGTCTTGCCATCTTTTTATCCCATGAAATATCGAGATAGATGCTTACTATGATGGAAAACTCATCTCGAGACAACGATAATGCAAGATCATGCATCTTGAAGGCAGAGATGAAACCCATGCACTCATTATCTTGGAAAAAACATTTTAATAGCAACATCTTCCAACTTTCCGTTTCCGTATGAAGAAGATTCAATGAGCCCCTCTTCCCATCCAAAAATATAAATGCCATCTTCCTCCTTTTCTTAATACAGATTTCTATTCCTTCTCGAGGAAAAGTTGCGCATCCAAATATATCATTGCTGATATAGAATGTTTAGCGGATTTGTTCACGGGAGGATGGAGAAGGTAAAATCTAAGAAAACATCCCAACGTGTCAAATGAGTTTTTTGTTAAAAAAAATTATAATTTTTAATCCAATAATTAAATCGAATCAGCTAATTAAAGCTAGTTGGGGCCAGGAACATGCCTGAATTTAGCCTAAAGATTATATTATTGAATTTTCTTAGTTATTTTTTAATTTCCTTTTTATTTTTCTTGTTATTTTGAGATATTCTAAAAATGTTATAAATATATAAAAATAATATATTTTAAAGATAATTTTAGAATAAATTTTTATTTTTTTATAAAATAAAAATGATGGAAAAGTTTCGGTCCCTTCTTTTATAAAATCGTA